GCTGGGGCTCCGGTGCGTGCCCGGCAGCCGAGCGGGGAAGCCTGCCCTTCTCCAGCCTCGGCTCTGCCAGCTGCTCCGAGTGCCCTGCTCTGTGGGAAAGGGTGTGCAAGCGCACACGGCAGCAGATGCCAGGTGAGCGTGTGCCCGGAGCAGGAAAGCCTTGAGCTGGAGGGATGTGTGAGAGGAGGCAGGGGTGTGAGTGCCCAGGCGCGGCCCCCGACATGGGCGGGGAACGTCCCTCTTCCTCTGACCCCAAAAGAGAGCGGTGTGAGGACACTTTCATAAAGGGTTTGCCCCAGAAATGTTTTGTGGCATTTGCAGTGCTTTATAAATGTGAGCCTCTGTCTTTCTGCTCTGGAGTCCTGCCAATCTGGGGCTTTTAAAAGCGCAGCAATTTGCCGCATTATGTAACCAAAAGTCTTGAAATCTTCCTGTTCCAGGCCCCTCCAGAGAAGGGATAACAGTGCCTGTGCGTAGGACCTGGGAGGTGGAAAGGGTTTAGGTCTTTTGCAGATGATACAGTCCTCGTTGGCTCAGAAGCCTCAGTTCCTGCTCTCGCCATGGCTGTGCAGAGGAGGGTTGCTGTAGGCTACCCATTCCTGCAGACTAGTCAGGACGTTTACGGGGAGCAGATGTGATACTTGCAGCCATTACTTGGTCTCATCACTCTTAATTACTGCAAATATGGTTATTTTATTTCCTAATAGGGCAAACTAGCTGGCTGCCTGGCAGCTGTGAATTTGATTTCCAAACACGTCTTACACGTTGCAGCTCTTCCAAAACAGAGCTGTAAATGTCATAACTATGTTCTGGGTGTTTTTTTTGTTTTGCAGAGGGAGGGAAGCTTTCCAATTGAACTGGCTGTCTTACATGTGCGCTTTTTTTCCTTTCTCATTTGAAACTGCTTCTGTGTGGGGGCAAGAAGGAAATCGGCAAGAAGCCTTAATGCGGTTGAAGGAAGAGCTTTCTAAAACTGGTCTTTCTTAATAAGGATTTTCAATGAGTCAGGGAAAAATGTTGTGGCATGCAGAACTCATCATGTAAACCCTCTGGCATCAGGCTTTGGGAATCTTGCTTCATGGTCTCAAACCTTGTTCAGTTCAAGGTTTTTCGCTGTGCCTCAGTGCAAGAGAGGTCATGTCTAACCCGCCGAAAGTCTTTTGTTTTGTAGAGAGATGCCACCTGAGCACCCGCAGGAGGAGGAGTGCTGCTCGCAGGGAAAGAACAAATAGGTGAACCAAGCTGCGGTAACTTCGGAGCAGCCAAGCTCCTCGGGAGTGGTGGAAAAATTAAACCTGTGTGCGTGTGTGCCAGGAGCAAAAGGGGAAAATCCCCAACACCTCATCAGTACCCCCAGCTTTTGCTTTGGATAACCTTTATTGCCAGTAGTCTTAATTAGCACTAGCAAGTAGAGTGTATTCCTTGCTGGTAGTTTTTATTGCCAACACCTGGTAGTCCCATCTTTAAAAAATATTTCAGACAAATCAGTGTAGTTTGATGCTTTAAAGTTCACTGAGCACTGTGAAAGCTCAGCATGACTCAAATCAAGAGGTGGCTGGAAACTCCAGTGTGCAGCTGGTGCGGGGATGTGATGTTTAGCAAAACCCCGTGTTCACGGTGGCTTTTCAGAAAGAGCATGATGGGCGGGTGGGCTGCTCCCTGTACCGAGAGCCAGAGGTACGTGGTGAGCCTCTGCAGAGCCTGGCACTTTCCTCCCCGACTGCTGGTGCTGGCGGGTGTGTGCTGGCTCCGGCCTCTGCCACGGGGGCTTGCCTGCAGCCGGACCGCACCGGTGTAGGCTTGGCCCGGGGTCGGATGGGCCGCTCGGCGTGGCTGCAGACCCCTGGGGTCTGAGAGAGGAAATCAGCTCTGCTGGCTCCTGGGCATAGTTCAGCCGCGGACGTGCCCAGGGCAGCGTCTTGTAAATGATTCCTTTGTTGGAGCGGAAGGGTGGCTCGGATCTGCTCGTGATGGTCATGTGTCGCACTGGCCGGGATGCAGGAAAATACCCTGCCAGCGAAAAAATTGTGTCTGGGTCGGGCTAAACCAGTCTTAGCGGCTTACAGAAATGGGCCCCCCGTGCTTTGCCTCCTCTTGCCCCGTGTGGGTTTGAGGCATCACCTGAGTGTGTCTGGGTGTCGGCAGGCTCTGGCGAACCCGGTGCCATGTCGGGTAACTTTGCCGCCTGTGTCTCCGGTGCTGGGTGGGAGCAGGGGGTCCCTGCACCTTGGGGCTGTGCTTCAGCCGGGACCCCTGGATCCCGGCCTGGATGTGGACCGAAGTGACGTGGGGCGAGTGACAACAAGGTGGGCGCCCATGGTGCTGTGTGGTGTGCGGAGGGCACGTGCCAGGTAGATGCTGGCATGTAAGCAGCCGCGGACGAGATGGTAATCGCTGTGAGCCTGAACGAAGGCGTGCTATAAATAGGAGGTTGCACCTCTCTGAGCCAGCACGCTGCTTGAAAGTTGTCGCTGTGCCTGGTGTGACCTGGGGGAGCTCTGGAGAAGGCTTTCCTGCTTGAAGGTGGCTTTTTCTTCAAGTGGGAACCTGAGCAGCAGAGCAGAGAGCTGCAGGATGAGGGGTGGGCTCAGGCAAAGGAGCCCGATATCCCCTCCTTGGTCAATGATGCTTAATACAGGCAGGGGGTGTCTCTGGCTTCGAGGCCAGGTCAGAAAGTGTCTTCTAAACTCTGGGGGTTACACAGGAGTTCTGGGACTGTAGCGATTCCCGTTGCTTTGCATATTGTAAACCGCATTTGTGAGCAGCTGCCCTGGTTGCGTTTCCTCCCTGGGACGGCTTCTGCTGCTCTCTGCTGCCTGGAGCAGCCTCATTTTTTGAGTAACCGCAGCTCCAGGCTGTGATCCAGCCGTGCAGCGGCTGCAGCACGGGGAATGCATGAGCAGCCCGACCCTGCTGGTCTCCAAACTGCTCCGAATCGGCCTCTCGCTCCTCGGCCTCTCCGAGGGGATTCCACGCTTCAGCGAGCCTGGGTGGCATTTCCCCACTTACTTTGTTTCCTAATCCCTTCTGGTCTTGAGCTTTTAAGGTGAATTGTTTTTACGCTTTCATGAAACCTGCTTGGCCTTTTTGGTAGGGGAGGAGGGTTTGGCTGCAGCTGGGTTGGGGGGTGCCCAGCTGGAGCCAAGCCCTGGGAATCCGGGCTCTGCCAGGGCTGCTCTGGGCAGACCCGCCTCCCGTCCCTGGGCAGTGCTGGCAGCGTGCAGGAGCCTTCCTCAGTCACCGCTCGGGCTATGTTTAGCTGTAGCCCTTGACCTTCAGGGCTGGCCAGGCTGCTCTTTCCTCGCAGAAATGGAGGTGTCCTGGCTCGTGCGTGTGGCCTTACTTCCCCTGGTGTGTCTGCATTTAACAACCCGGGTCTGCT